TGTATGTGTGTTTTGACCTCTGCTCTTAATAGTGACATCATTAGTGTGTTTGTGGGTGTGCTGACCTGTGAGGGGTATATCATCCACTGAATGAATGAAGTATCATTGTTAAGGACAGGAAACAGCATCTTTTCCATTCACAGTCAATGCCCTGCAGACATTAGAGGTGTGTGTGTGAAAGTGTGTGTGTGTGTCTGTGTGTGTGTGTGTGTGTGTGTGTGTGTGTGTGTGTGAGAATTAAGCAGAATAAGATGATGATTTCAAGCTGCTGTTTAAACAAGAAACAAGGAAAATGCCACATATGCCAACAAATATTGTTGAATTGTTCACTGAAAGATTTTTTTTTTCTTTTAAATGTCTGATATATGTAAGGTCAGCAAAAACATATGGAGAAAAACTAACCTATTTCAGTACACTCTCCTAACCACCAGAATTGGCTACTTAAATATGCATCACACACACAGATAATACCAAGAAAGATGCAAGTGTCATCTGGTTGACACAAACAACCTGTGGACTGGCCTAGCACCCAGCACTGGCGTTCTACTTATCTTCTTGTCTAAGTGCTCAGGTTGTATTTGTTGTCACTGGTTGTCAAAGATTGACAAAGAATTGGTGCAGCTCCTACAGTGATGCAGACACTGCACTGAAGTGATCAAGAGAACTGAGTGCAAAGGCAAAGCTGGCTACATAGCCTACAGCTACAAGCTGTGGGTAATTACAGAAAGAATAAAATTGTGCCTACAAGTGGTGGGGAGCCTGAGCTTAGCCTTAGAGACACAGTGGGAAGCTTAAGGCATTCAAGAGGGGCTCACAGAAGAGCAGATACTGCTTGGCATTAAAAGAAGCTAGATAAAGTGGTCTGGACATCAGTCTATGATGCTTCCCAGTTGCCTTCTGGGTCAGCTGCTGGATAGATTATGTTGGGCCTGTGAAGGTTTCAGTGGTGATTCCAAAGCAGTTGAAGCCAGTGGCTGGGGAGAAGGGGTCTAAGCATCTCTGCTATGGCTGCTCCCCATGATCTGGACAAGCAGCAGAAAATGGATGGATAAATGGCTGTCAGTGCTTTACTGTGTATGCCAGTTGTCTTGTAACCTGCAAGTCTTAGCTACCTTTTAGCCCAGAGTGAGCATAGACAGAGTTCATTTCCACAAACGGCTTTGTATAAATATCAATTAACAGGAGTTTCAGTAGTTCACTTCCTCAGGGGGCACACTTTGCAAACCACGCTGCACCTCCAATCATTGTACAGGTAGATTACTGCTTCACGCCGTTGTATCTTTTGCTTTTTTAAATTCTAACTACTAGTTTTGTTGTACTGTTCTTTGTTATTGTGACTATGTTGAACTATAGCAAAGAATCTGTCCGTCTTCTCCAGCTAATAACTAACCACTTCTCTGACATTTAACCTCTACCATGGAGACATATGTGGATTGTGGGCAACACAAGGACAGTTTAAATTTGTAGCTGCACTTTTCTATATTCTTTTGCCTTGGTGGTGTCCTTGTGAGTTAGGAAGGTTCCCCTTATATGTTTTTCTTTAACAGACTTCACAAATGCTAGCCAGACCAAGGCTGTGTGCAGGCCCACCAAGGTTTAGATCAAACACCTGCGACTGATGCCTCCCTTGCTTCCAGATGAAGCCCTTAAGTCAGATGCTAACTGGCAGTGCCTGCAGTGTATCCTTAACAGTTTCAGACCTGTTACAACCCTACTTAAAATCTTTTTGAGAATAATCAGATCAGCGCCAGGGTCTTTCATCAGGTTGTTTATGTCATTCAGATCACAAGTTTGACTTTGTTGTTATGTCTCAACCTACTACGCAGGCATGAAAAGCACATTACCGTATTAACGTATTACAATCCCATCTCTGGCAGTCATCCAGAATGAGATTAGAACTCAACATAACAATGACATAGAGACAAGTGTACAGCAAGTGCCAGCATTAGTCTTTAAAAGCTCCATAAACTTTTGCAGAGTTTGAGATTATAAAGATTTTATTGAATTTTCAAGTATGCCACTATAGTATGGACTGAATAAAGATTCAAGTACCTGTCCTTCACGCAGATCATAAGAAATGAGTCTCATCTGAACAGGAGCAGTGCCGATGTGCGCTGATGGTGGAGCTATAGTTACTGATGCTCTGTGGTTGGCCGCCAAGGGAAGGTCAAAGGTCGCAGGAGGCACAGAAAGAGCTCGGTTTACCTTGACTTGAGTGGATGTCATACTGGCGAGACTCTGTGGTAAATGAGACAGACAGAAAAAACAAAACAAACCCCAGACATTTAGTGAGAAAACAAGTCAAAGAAAGATGAGGAAAAAAAAAAGTCCAAGTTTCAGAGTGAGGCAGGCCACTGGAGGGAAAGAGAAACTGAATGAATAAATCATGAACCCCATTGAATAAATTGAATTCCACTCTATTATTACTAACAGCCTGTAGGTGAAATGCATAATGATAGAAAGGTACCATTACCAGAGGAAAGCAAAGTATCCCTGATACTGCGCCGAAATTAAAAACAGCACTGTGCAGATCCTGGTGCATGAGTTAGCAAAGATAACCCTTCTCAATTACAGATGTCCAAGAGCGGGTGTCTCTGTGTGTTTGCCAACAGACAGACACAAAAAACATTAACAGTCTACTCACAGACAGGACTTCAGTTTCAGTGATGTTCCAGAATGTCTTCCAGAAATGGACATCCAGGTTCTGGGTGATGCGGTCAAATTCAGTCCCCCTCAACTCGGGGTCAATGGCATACTTTCCTGAGGTAAAGAAAGAGCTGGCTGCTACCCCTGAAAAAAGTAGGGAGAAGCATATATGATGAGGAGGAGACCGAGATAAGGCAATGGAAAGGAAAAAAAAAAAAAAGAGGAATGCATATTATGATAATGATGGTTTAAAAATGAAACAGAAACTGAATAGCAAGGACAAAAGATTAAAAAAAAAAAAAAACAGGTAAGGGAGCCACATTTAACACACAGACAAAGAGCAGGAACAAGTGGAGGAGGGAATGAACATTAAAGTTTCAAGTGTCTGGTCCCTAGCAGGGGAGAAAAAAAAAAAAACAGAAGGGTGAAATTGGCTTTTACATAGTCAAAACACTATAGTCATTTTTGCCACAGGGATTTTTAAGTCTACTGTACTGGGCTCATGGTAAGCCACACAAGGACTCAATTGTATTATCAATCTTCTCTTGCTTTCAGCGGTTTATTTACTGCCCACGATTATGGGTCAAGGATGGGCAGTAAGGAAAGGCCTTTTATCATGATGATATACAGGCACAGGAATGCTAATGTAGCTTACAGTGCTAAATGCAGAACAACTTGGCAGAGTAAGAGCTTTAGAATAAAATAAGTTTCTTCACACAGTTATACAGACCACTACAGAGGAATATTATAAAAGGGGTGGTGGTCTAGCACACTCACCATATGGTGCAATACCTCCTGCTTCCACTGTGGTGCAGCAGAGAGCACAAAAAACCATGAGAAATGGATAATTCTTTACTGAATGTTAAATAGTTTTCTGTCTGTGTACACACATGCACAATACATGTGTGTCTATGACAGTGCATGTTCTTCTCTTGCTGCCTCTGTACATAACTATGTGCATGTTCAAAACATTCTGAAATATAAAAGAAGCACAGCAGCAAGCCCTCAAGATTCCAAGGGATGAAAGAGCATCTACAATCCAAACACAACATCAAAAGTTACACAGTCAGGGGCAAGGGAGCAATGTAGAAGAGGTGTGGGGCTGGATGAGTACGATCTATGAATGAAAACGATCTGGCTGGATGATGAGAGGGTGCAGATGCAGACAAGATGTTGCTGACCTATTCCTGACTGATGCCGCTTGTAGTTTTCTCCAAAGGCCACAAGGCCGATAGCGATGGTCTGAAGAAAGGGGCGAATGGCTGGAGTGAACTAGAGGGGAGAAGGCATGTACAAAAACAGAGAAAATAATTTCAATTCCAGTCCACTATCCACACATTTAAACATAAGAAATAGAACACAAATGTGACTAGAATCACTACAAAAGAAAGTGAAAAAAAGAATGAGAAGATCTCATAATATCAGAATTGTAAGAGATTACAAATTGATAGAAAATAGACTCAAAGGGAGCTTCATCATTTTTTCCCTTTAGTTTGCTTTTGACCTCTGTGCTGTGAGAGTTCAGCCTCCCTTGTTAAGCTCAACTGAGAAAAATGGGAACTGCTGTAAAGATGACCAGATCGTCGTTCTGTATTTCTCATAGCCTTAACATCTCTTTTTAGGGTCAATTCCTATTTCTAAAATAAAAGCAGGGGAATATACACAGACCAGGTAACAGGCCAGTTGCCTCAAACACAAACAAGTTCTTTCTTTTACAAAACTAAAGAATACTTTACAAATTACTATAGAAATCTTTGAGACCTCTATTCCGCAACTAACTAGTCCTAACACAACACAAAATATAAAAAAGTTAAAGGTGTAGAATGCAATATGAAAAATTTGATGAATGAAAAATGTATATAACCTTTACCAGAACTGTAGCTATGAGTAGCGCTGCTCATCTATACTGTTATAAGAGTTTTACACGTTTTCTTACTCTCACCACTCCACAGTTCCCAGTGCTTATCCTTGTCACATCATATGACTGCTAAAACAGCTCATCTCACCTGAAAGCCCAGACAACGGCCATAGAAGCAACCCTTGTGCATGGATGCATATTCACGGACAAAACTTTCGCTGAGCCCGCTTTCATCCTGGAAAAACAAATTGCCGTGGCTGTTGTCATGTAGCATGCGCTGAGCCAGGTAAAGCAGGGCACGCAGCTGGCACAGAGCATTACAGTACGCCTCCATTTCCCCTGCATTATGTGCTGCTCGGAAGAAGATGCTGCGGCGGTTGGCGGTGATGTAGTGGCCCTTGTGGATGATGTGGAGAAGGCAGCAACGCACAACCTAGAAAATAAAAAAAGTGACAATAAAATACCGGTACCTAAAATTAGAAAACATCCGCCACACAATAAAGTTTACTTTGACATTCAGCAAATTCTAAATCACATTACACGAACCTTAAAAACTTTATTAAGTACTAATATAAGTATTAGGAAACATTATATTACTGGGTGTTAAAGGGATACAATTTTATAAAATTATATTTATTCTTGAAATGAAGATACACAGCAATACGCATTATTTGAAAGAACAAAAAACAAAACCTAAAGTCTCCATTTATGCACTCATTAAAGAGACAAGTCTTCTGGGTGTGCTTAAATTGTGATTAAGATTAGTGTGGTAAGCCTAAAGGGAAAGGAGAGGATGTGTGAAAGCATGGCTAAATGAGAACATGTAAAAAACTTCCTGCTTCACTGGGTGTTACAGATTAGCAAGAGTGGTACTGCTGGAATGAGAAGGATTATAAATGTGGAAACAGAGAAGAAAACAGAACAGGATTCATTTGCTGCTCTACTAGACTCATTCTGTTGTGGTGGGCTGCAGTAACCGAAGGTCATGATGTTTCATCAATAACTGTACAAGATAAAGTACAGTGGATACAGTAGAGGCAGATATTCGCAGCTGGAGGAATTTATCTTGCCCACTTTGTAACATAAAATCAATCTGTAAAACAAATGGACTGACCTTGAAACAAAGTGATATTCAAGCAAAGAGGTGCTGTGAATAGTTTCTCACAGTGTGGAAAGAATATTGATAAGAATGTATTGCAGAAGAGGTACCATTTCTCCAAGCTGCACAGAGATTAAATAAAAACAAAACAAAACACACATCCAAGAGTTCATTTATACACGCAAAAAGACCTTAAAACATCAGAAAGCCTACCTTGACCAGGGAGCGATAGCCATTAGCTGGTATATGTGGATCAAAATCAAAGTGATGGTAAACATTAGCAAAGCCAGAAATAACAGGTTCCAGATTGCGAGCGTGCTCCTGAATCTGCTTCATGGCCTCCACCAGCCGCCGTGCAGCATCACCCTGTGACCCCTTGGCTCCCCCTGAGAAGAAAGCTGCATTTTCTTCGCACACACCGTACAGGGCCGCAAATACTGCTTTGGTATCCATCACTAAAAGCAGTGAAACAAAAGGAAAAGGCCACGAATGAAACAATGAAAGCATCAGATTTACTGTGGGTAAGAATAACAACATTCTTTTAACATGAGTATGTATTCCACTGGGGAATGTCTCTTTTCACTTGTAGGCACGTAACTGATGATTTAGGGGTGTAATCGCAATAATTTGCAGTTCCTGTTATTAGTAACATTGTTGTTACTAGTTATTAGTAACATTGTTATTACTAATACCATTATCCTTCTAATCCCAAATGTATTCTTATATGCTGCGTTTCTAAAAACCTGACTGAAAGCTGGCATCTGCTCCAACTACCATAAAAAGCAGCACCCTGATCAATATTCTGCACCACACCCACAGCTGTAATCAGCATGTAGAAACTGTACCAAGTGGGATATTTTTGGATATATCCTACAAAATGTTCTTAGTCTTATTAACTGAGCCCCTACATCCTGATGTATGGAATCTCATGAACTGAAACGTGTTAAGCGAGGCTTGAAATTAAATGATGTAAACCAAAGCTGCACACCAAAAATCCACCAAGATCTGGTATCATGCTGCTGGGAAACAAACACAGATTAGTCATACACTGACAAAAACACATAAACAAACTTGCATACGAATCCCAAAGGGAGGTATACAGTAGACAACCATCAGCAGACTGTGTTTATTAAGTGTGCCCACCTCTCTAGTGAAATTAAAAACAAAAAACAATAATAACAAAGATGTAGCACTTTTGCCCTGTTGGATTATCACTGTAGGATGGCGTTCTCCTACTGAGTCACTTGAGATCAGAGTTTCCATAACATCTCTGGGAACTAGCTGGTACTTGTATAAGGTTTCTGGCATGCTGAGAAAGAGGAAAGAAAAGAAGGGGCATTGGACACACAGAAAAGTTCAATTCAATTCAAAACAATACAAAACAAAACAAAAAAAAACAAACAAACAAAAAAAAGGCGAGAAACTATGGGAGAAATGGAAACAAAGGTTTTTTTGTTGTTTCTTGATTTAATAGATTTTCATTAGTATGGCAATATGTCGATAGTAATCAGTTCGTAGAGTAAATTATCACCACTTAAGTGATGCTAAATTAAATGACAACTCTAAGAATTAGCCTCAATCCTTTAACTTTGGATTTTACATTTTCAACTTTGAAAAAGCAATACAGAACAAATGCAGATAAATAACTCTGGTAAAACAATGCCCAAAGAGACATAATTGATTGGGAAGCAGGAGTAGGCTCTGCATGCTGAAAAGTGAACAGATAACAAAGAGAAATATTGTTTCAAGGGTCAAAGAAATAATGGAGCCCTAATCGCACAATTATTCTGCTATTCCCTGCCATTCAGGAAGAGTAATAGGAGAGGCAATTTCAGACTGCTGGGAGGAATCACGTCCCCCTGATATCTGCAAAGAGACATTTATCAGCCAGACAACTTATAGCACGCACGCACGCACACGCTTATTTTCCTGACTGGCATCTGCTTCTCACTCCTCTACTCTGACAAAGAAAAACCCCAAAAACAAAACAAACAAACACAAAAAAACAACAATTTGTTCATATCCTAGAAGAGACCCTCTGAAGAATCAACTTTAAAAAATAAAAACTTTTGTAACTGTTGTACACTTAGTAATAAATGATTTAATTACATCAAGCAGATCTTCCCTGATTGTTTTAAAATATGCATTATCTGAATACACCTAATTCCAAGTCCACATTTTACAGAGCTGAGGCTTGTTTGTTTTCCAAATCAGCAACCAGTCATTATGTGCTGTGATATTATGTCCACTGTCCACTCAGTTGTGTCTGTTTTAACTTGCTTTTGTCAAAAGCAGAAAACGTTTCTCTACAAACACAAAACCCTCTGAATTTATGTGAGCAATGTTAGTTTCTGCATTTATTGACCCTGGGGAATACAGAAAGACCAAAACAAATGTGGAACCAAAAATCACTGAACTAAACAGGACAGCACTGCAGTGGGAAAAGGGTTTCTTTTTTAAATTTTTCAGCTTAAAATAGTTCTGTTTATTCATCCAAAGCTTAATGAAGCAGCTTCAGGGCAAATTTCCAACCAGTTCAGCCATGTGAAAGGAATACTTTTTGTGGTCTAATATCATCACATGATTTCTGGGGATTCTGAAACGTTGTGCTGCTCAAACTCAATGAACCACGAGTTTATCATTTAGAAATATGGACAACTACTTAATCTCCTTAAACATCAAGACTTTTTAGCTTTGTAGACTGGTAGGACTTCTCTCACTTTTTTAGATTTGTCTCAATATTGACAGCTTCTCAGATTGACTCGTCCATGTTTGCAAGCAAGCCCAGGTGTATCAGACAAAGGAAAACAATGGCGATTTACATTTATTTGGTGGATGTTTTCCAGAGTTTCAATGTCCCACTCACCCTGACATGTTACACAAGCATTACTTACTCATATTCCTGGTAAAGATCAATGAAGTAAACCTAGACTAAGACTCAAAACAACTCAACAGCTACCTGCAGATCTATACAACTCTTGCTCAATTTCAGGATTTGACCAAGAGCTAGTGGATTATGTGTGGACTGCAAACGTTCAGAGCCTGACAACACAGGAAGCAGTCATGTAATGTACAATGACATCAGAATGAAGTACCAAAGGACACAAACAAAGAACATCTATAAATATACTTTTATCTTTCTGCATAAACACATTCACAGCAGTGTGACCTAAAGTGATACAGTGAGTGGTGCTAGTCAAGTAATCACCCAAAAGCAATGCTAATGCAGTCAAACCAGTTTGGGCACAAACCCAATATTAAAATTACATTGCCTAATTAGAGCCGGCGGTGCAACTCTCTCATCTGAGCATGCCAATAAGCTTGATGTTGAAAGGGCCTGAACTTTATGAACCCTTGGATAAGCATAAGCTGCTCTGAAACTTGTTTAATGAAAATTAAGCCAGGAGACATTACAACCCTATCTAACTGCAGGGACCAAATTACACGCAAATGAAATGCAAATGAACAAAGTTAGGCAAACCAGTACCATCTTATTAAGAGTTCAAACATACAATGATCCAATAAAGACTTCACCTTTGTTTGACAAATGATAATGCCTAGAACAGAGGGAAAAGGATAGCTGTTACTAGAAAGTATCTTGCAAAGCATTTAAACACCTGTCAAATGCTGGCATTCAACCCATGTGTTGGCGTAAACAATGGTACATTACACCATGCATAAAACCACATTCATCTTCAGCTAGACTCAACTACAAACTTGTGATGTTTTGTGAAACCGTCGTGCACAGTTGTGATAAAGTTTTGCATTGATAAAAAAAAACTTCTCCACAGGCATATAATCTTGTCATCTTGCCAGGATTTTCCATAATGAAACACATGCACCCACACAAGCTGATAACATTACAGGAATGGTACATTTACAGATGGTAAATATACCATCAGACATGACTCACCTACTGTCCTTATCACATCCGCTTTGTATGCATTCACAAATGCTCCAGGCTTCCTCTAGCTAGTATGTCAATACTGAAAATGTCTCAACATGCCTTGTTTTCCATATTTTTGTAAAACAAGTGGCCACTGCAACCATTAAGCTGTACCTGGTCTCTCCACATTAAAGATGGATGAGAGTCAGCATTAATAAGTCATGTACAACAACCAACACCAACAACATTACAGACACATAATGTTCCCTGTGGGGCCCAAAGACAGTGTGAATTTAGCATCCATAAAAATACCTGCTGACTGCCATTGGCATAACATACAACTGACAGGATGAAGTAGTAAAAAAAAAAAACCAAACAAAACAAAACTGAATAGCTTAAAGAGAAAAAAGTGAAAAGTGTTTACCAGCATCTGAGTTCAAGGCTCTGTCCATGTCTGTGTCCTCTCTTCCACAATGAGAGCATGGAGGGGAAAAAAGGAGAGAATGAGAGAGAAAGAAAAATAGATGCTGGTGTTGTTTAAAGGAAAGAGAAAGTGATTTCCAGCTCTGTTGTCTTGCTCGCTTGTCTTTGTGATGTATCTCTTTACCTCTCAGACGTTGTAACAAGAAGCAATATGCTGCTCTTCCCTGTGTTCTGTTGATCCTAACCATGCCTCTTTTAAAAGGACGGACAGCAGGGACGACCCTTGCCCAGTTAACTTTCTCCCTGTAACTCGAGGCTATTTTGCTATTGGCAGATCAGCTTGGAACTCCCTGTGACCTTTAACTTAATTGGCAAACTACAACCATAAGATTATGATATGATAGCAATATATTAACCGTTAAAATGTTTGTTTGGTTTTTAATATTAAATATTTAAATAAAATAGAACAAAGTTTACTTGTTACCAAGAACTAACAGTTAGACTTTTTAGGAAAAACTACATAAAAAAAACCCTACACAAAACTACCTTCACAAATGGTTACCCCAACAAAATTCACTTTAAAATTGTTAAATTATCAAAACATTATGATTAATTAACTAAACCTTCCACCACTTAGCACCAGCATTAGTCTAACTCATATGCATTACACCTAAAGTGCCAATAACACTTTAGTGTTAGAGTTTTGAGTATTTGAGGTGCCTTTAATACATTCGTATTAATTTAAGCATCAGAAACATGCAGTTTGCACCAACTCTTGAGAAACACTAATGTTCAGGGATGAATGCAGGACATGGACAGCACGTGAACACCCAAAAACAGATGGTGAAAACATGATTTGAAGGATATTTTCCTTTCGGAAAACATGACCTCAGTGAGAACTTTTTGACTGATATCACAGATGACAGTTTCATAACTCAGTGAATGGAGACATGAACCTTCATCTACTTATAGAAATACTGAGATAAACAAACTTACACACACACACACACACACACACACACACACACACACACACACACTGCAGCAGAACAAAAGGCTCCGCTGCATTCTCTCCCAGTGCCTGCATCTCTCTCCCAGTCCAAAGATATTGTTGAAATTGGTGCTTCTAAACTGGCCTTAAGTGAGAATATGAGCATGAACTGCCTAACTTAACTTCCTGAGCAGAATACATTTCGGCATAAGTACAGGTTAAGTTTCAGATTAGAAAACGACAGATATGAAATCACCACCTACTGACCTTCTCCGGAAAAATGGTGTCACCATTCCAGGAACATCACTCAGACCTTTGGGAACAGACACTAGGAGGGGTTTAAGTTTTGTTTTTAAAAAGCATCTAATATTTTTGTTTTGGGTTTTTTTTGTTTTGTTTTTTTAATTTTATGTCCCTGATGAGCATTACTAAGAAACTGAGATTCTTAGTCACAACATTATTCCTTGATTGTTTTTTTTCCCCTCTTTGCTGAAAATCTAAAACAATTTTATCGCTTTTATTGTTACCAAGTGAATCCAGATGATGACAAAAAAAAATACCTTGGTACATTTAACTGACTTTGTAATACAGGGCTCTTCTCATTTTCTTAAGCAGTTTCCCTGTATGTGTCTGCACATATATTTGGCCAATAAACACGATTCTGATTCAGTTAAGAAAATGGACAGACGGATGTTTATATTTATGTTAATTTTCAGGAGATATAAAAACATTTTATAATAAGAAACAGATGTAAATAATAAAATGAATGCGTAGAATTCCATCTGGATTTGGACTGACTCTGAGGACCGGCTCACTGCCCCATGGGAATTCTTGTCATTGCTTGTAACACCTGTGCTTTTCCAAATGTCAGGTGACTGCAGTGAATAAATAAACTTAAGAGCTTTCCTTTTGTCTTAACTATAAATTCTCACTTGAAATTCCTTCCACTCAGAAAACACTACCGAAGTTGTTATATTGAAGTATCTTCTCAATGCCAGTTTGACTTACTGTACTGATCTTGTCTAAGCCTTCTCTAACTCGTTGGTGTTTGTTTCCCCACTTTATCAAGCCTAAACAGACCCATGCTGTAGAAAAGTGGGTAATTATAGTCCCAAGCACATAAAAATTGGCTGTTTTTCAAAAGGCACCCTCCATCACAGCACAACCTCTGAAAGATGGTTTCTTTACATATGATGTGACAGTTGCCACATCATGTGTCATACTCAAAGAATTAAATCTATAGAAAGACATCTTTGTCCAGGGCAAAGGCAAAACAGAAGAGCGCACAGCACGAGCCCAGTAGTATAATGAGAACGAAGTTTTGACCTTTCTACCAAACAGAGCACCTTCACACGCACACAAGTCCAAACTCAACAACAGGAAACTTGCAACAATGAGCCTCCACACCCTTTACATAAATAGGTTCACGTAAGTTTTATAACATCATAGCATTATAGGAAAAGAAAATTATAAGTCTGATGATAAAACCTGAGCATGTTAGGAAATTTACATAACAAGTAAGATTAGGGAAGCGTTTCCTATCCAGTTATAAGTGCTTACAACACACAATGCCATTTGTTTAGATAGCAAAGACAAAGATAAGATTCAGACTGCGGTCAGAAATATGGCCTTTTGAACGTGGTGGCCTGGACTGTTCTTAGAAACAATGAGACAGAAGACTAGTTACCAGACGAACAGAGCAAAATCGAGAGTGTGTTTAGTAATAATAGCACGTCCACAGTCCCTACGAGCAGCGTGCTTTGAAAGTCTGCCACCGCCTTTCAGAGACTTGCTGTTAGTCACCATGTGTCACCCTGCTCTTGCGTCACACCGGTCGAACTAGTGACAGCGTCACCATCAGTCCACCTTAATCGATTAGTGCACAGGGCAGTACAACTATAAACTCCCCCTTTGTGTGCATGTGTTACGCTCGCAGCTTTAATCTGGTTAATCTAGTCTTCTCCTCTAGTGGTTGTTTTTGGCGTACCTGTTCAGGTGGGTCCGGTCGGTGTCAGCGGTCGACGCTAGAGTCACGAAAAGTGACAAGTGAACATAAATACGAGCATGTGCTACATACAGTATGTGTCCCGTTAATTAAAATCTATTCCATAGAAAACCTAGCTGCTAACGTTACAATGACTACTAACGGTGTGCAGGCGGCTTCTACGTCTAAAGGATGCTCTAACTAGAGACATGCCAGCAACAGAGTGTCAGAGTTTGTCTTGACAATTATTTCACCAACAGCTCACACATGTTAACTCAGCGCCTCTTTCTGTCATACAAGAATCACGAGACTTTTACTGCTAAAACAGACCTAGCGGCAGCTACCAAAGGACAGCTAACTTAGCCGCTAACGAACGTTAGCAGGAGGACACAGCGTACAAATTGGGGGGCGGGGGTGTTATTAAAGGGACAAGCCACAGAGGGAGCGTAGTAGGTACAACAAGTTTATAAAAAATAAAAAAAAACCTCACCCAGTGGACCCTCTTTGTGTTTGGACGAGCGCCTTCCATTCACACCTTTTTCCAGTCTGCTAGTCCCACTACCCTTCTTGCTGGACGCCATATTCGCCCACTCTGTTTATGCACCGCCTCTCACATTTCTTATAACGGATCTACCTGAGAAGCCATGAGACCACGCCCACGCAAGAAATGTAAGCCAATGAAAACCTACTTCTGTTTAGTAACCAATCAGGACAAATCAAAATTTCGTAAGTGCCGCCCTACTCTCTTTATTGTGCAACCCCCTAAAAGAAACAATCCTATCCTATTCACTGCACACAGAGGGCAATTGTATTACTCAGACAATTTACAGAGAGATTTGATGGATTTTTTAAATATTATTTTATTATTACAGCACTCACAGAAATAGCAAAAAACACATAATTGTAGCAGATGCACGTCAATGAATATTTAAAAAGCCGACAACGCAACCTGGGGTACATACGTAACCAGTCTGACCCGTCATTTTTTTTCTGGAATCTGTGTGCAAAATTAGAATAAAAAAGCTAAAGCAAAACACCTACATATATTTAAAAATGTAAATGAGTATATTTAAAAACATCATAAAAAAACTGAAAAAAAAGTTTATAGTTGATATGTTGATAAGGAAGTATTTCTAAAATCTTGGTTGCAGACCAGTGGATATTGTGTTATGATTGTTTTGACAAATACAGATAAAATCTTAAAGAATAAAAAACTTCAGAGTACAAAACTCTGAAATCAGAGCGTGTTGTAAGAAGCCTGCTATTTACATGTAACACTCGTAACTGTCTGTTATTCACTTTGTTTTATGGTTTCTCCAGCTGGATTTCTTCCTCTTCTTCCTTAATGTTGCCCACATCCTGGTATGGGCCCTGTGCTTGGGAGCGTTCAATCTGATCGTATGTTGCACAACAGTCATCCAGATTTAGCCCCTGGTTTTTAAGAAAATGAAAAAGGAAATCATGCAAAGGCTATTATCAGTGGAAGATATACACATCAACAACAACTAGAAATGGTGTTCATTTCTTAGCTCCTGCTTTCCTGCTTTGCCTTGTGTAATGGAAAGAGATTGAGAATATGTAATGTTGACCTGATATATATTTTCCTCTTCTTTCTTTGCTTTCTTTTTCTCCAGTTCATTAAGCTTCTTTGACTGTAGGGCAAACCAAAAGTAATAAATCAGTCAAATGTTGCAAATTCCCATTGTTGACGGAGAAGGAAGAAAAAAAAATCCATGCCAGACTCGCACAGCTCTGCCATTACTTTTTAATGCATGAATAATAAAGTAAAAGTAATGCTCTTTTGGGAAAATGCTTGAAATTAAGCATAGCTTCAACAGTAATGCTGCTGATCATTGTATAATAATGCAACGACCTTGAACAGAAGAATGGCAGAAGGCAGCATCACACACAGTAACAGTAAGAATCCCTCAGCTATCAGGATCTTGTTTTTGGTGGTTTCTCTCAGGTTTATGGTCTTCTCCATTGGCTCTAGGAATGCAGAAAGGATTCAGAGGTCAAACAAACAAATTAGCAGTTGCACGTATTGGTTTTTAAACACGAGTTATCTTTTTCTGCTTTAAGTGTGAACACGTGAATGCTGCATATTTGTTAGCCTGCACATGAAAACGCAGACTAACAAAATAATTACTCAAAAGCCTTACTGGGAGATTTATTATGAGACTGATAGTTTTGTTATATAACGGTTAAATTTAGCATAAGGATCACAGTTAAACATACAATTGGTGGTACTGTTAAGTCACGTTAACAATGCAGGTTATCGCACACATAATCCCTCAGATTGGCAGTTTTATGTTTCCTCATCTACCATCTGGTTTTAATGAGATTAGTGTGTGAAGTGGCCTTTCAGTGTGACTAATGCCTTTGCACATTGACTGAAATTTAATTCTAAATTTGGTGCTATTTAAAGTGAATGAATGGTGCAGCATACTGCAATGCAACAATCCTGAAGATGTAAAGATTAAATAAATTGAATATATGTGGATGCTGCCACTTTCACAGCTTTTGGGCAGATTAACAATAACAGGATTTATGGCTTATGAAGTAGTGACACCCCGCCCCAACAACAACACATGCACACACACACACTCACTGTAGACACGCAGGTAGGTTCCATGTGTGTAATATGTGTTGCCACCATCATTCAGCTGACAATGGTAAAATCCAAGGTTCTCCAGCTTTACTTCAGGGAAGTTCAATTGGGCACAATATATTTTTTCAGATTTGGAATCTTTCTGTGGTTCAGCATCTTTCTGTGATTCAGCTGTTAGCACAGCTGTTTTATCTAACAAAATCTGCTGAGTTTTGTTATAATAGCGGATCCAGTGGACATTCACTCTCCCCGACGGTGATTTATAGCAGCATTCCAGTGAAGCATTTTCAGAGACTGGCACACTCAGTGAGGGTCTGTCTGGTTCTAAAATCAGCTCACCCCAAGCAAAACCCACTGTTGAAGAAAGCGCATGTTAAGACAGGTTATGTTGTAGGATTTGTTATTGAGGTCTCAGATTATTTAATGATGACTGCATATAATTTCACAACCCATATTCAAAACTGACAAAGTATTAAAATATGCTTTAAAAATGCCAAATGATCTATAATTGTATAGCATAAGTAACCAGAACGACTGAAGCAAAAATGTCATCATGATAGCACAGCCATCTGTTTTGACAGGAAATGTGGTTCACTGAAGCAGAACTCAAAAGAGTTAAACAAAAATGAATACATAAGTACATATATACTGAACCGATATGTAAAAATATGACACGTTGAAAATAATTAATCTTTCAAAAACATAACTGATAATACTGAAATATATAATAAATGGATGATGTCAATGATTACTTCTAAATAAAACAAGTTCAAATACTTGAATGTATTAAAAATATAATCTGACTCACCCACCAAGCTGGAGAGGACAAATATTACAACCATCCCCATTTTTGTAAGCCAAAATTCAATCTAGGAATAAAAAAGGATAAAATTCTGATAAAAAAAAAAAAAATTCTACACACAGCTCTGCTTCAGTCTTCTCTTCTGCAAGATCACACTGGTGTCTTGTTTTTCAGTGGCAGGATTTATGCTTGAATAAATTTCCACCAGCCCACATTTGCTTAAGTGCTGCATCCAAATGCTTAAAAAAATAGAACCTTGTTTTAAAAAAAAAAAAAAAGTCTGTTAAACATGCAAATAGCAACTAAATGCTGCTCTTGACTGAAAATTGCAAATATAAAAAGTGGAAATGGAACAGTTGATAGAGGGACAATGTATTGCATTTCTTCTTCTTTCTGAAAGCATTAACTCAGGAGACAAACTGTTCGAGCTTTGAAGTAAAAGTCTTACTATTAAACAGTTCGGAGCCTTGGTCAGTCATTTTTCTTTTCAGTGTGTCTTGTGTTTCCACTGGGTGAGACCATTTCAGTTTGGAGCCATGCTGTTGTTCCTCCCACTCATCACCACTCCGATTAACATTTAAATCCCCAACATTTAAACATCTACATTACCTGCTAATGATATGAATACATATAATCTCTAGTGAGCACAGGACCCACTAGAGGACATCAATGTTCCGGCCACCCTCTGAAGTCTGCTGAAGGTCATTTTGTAGTTTTCCAGCTGTTCCTCCTTGCACAAAGGAGCAGGTACCTTTTCTGCTCTCTTAAAGTAACTGCCTGTCTCTTGGAACCTTTATGCTCTTAAGACCATTACTGGAAGACACTGGAAGCTTTCTGGCAATGGCAAGTATTGCTGTACCTTCCTGGAGGAGTTGGAATACCTGTGCAACCTGTTTAAGGTCCCAGTGTTGCCAAATTCTAGTAGTGACACTGCTTGTTATAGCACCTACTGGAGGGGAATAGTTGAAAGAGGTCACGTCTAGGGTGTGTTTTATTTTTTTGCAGACCTCACAGTCCTTTGTAGTCTGTTCTTGTCCTGTTTGATGGCTGATCCAAACCTTCCAGTGATATAGCTGGATTGTTACAGAGTGCACCCATCAAAACTAAAAGAATGTCAAATTTAGATTAATCAGACAAAAACAAACACTTTGTCTCAAATGAGGTCAGACCCATAGGTGGAGAGTTTCTGGATCTTGTTTACTTTTCTTGTTTTATAGCGGAGCTTTGTTTAATTGGTGCATGCAGTGTCATGAACTGTGTTCCTGAACTAATGCAGTGCCTTTCACTACAGAAATCTATTGTTTCAAACAGCTTTGCCTTAATATCCATTTAATATTTTTCAGCCTTGTTCCCTGTCTATTAAAAAAAACCCTGTAAATTCTTTGCAATTCAACATTTAGAAAGAGATAGCTACTTGCATATAAAGCCATTATCTTTACCTTTTAAATACCTTTCTGGGCACAATTATTTAACTGAATATTGCAGATTAATATTATCAGCTTTGAGATTTGACACATCATTTTTTCAATTAAATATTTAGAATTTAAAGGACTGGGATTTACATGGAATCCTGATATTCTATAATTCATGTGTTTTAAAATATGCACTGTATATTTCAAAACAAATGGAGTGAAGCCCAACTATGGCTGAACCCTAAACAATTGTCATGATGTTCTCCCAACTGTAAATAAGAAAACAGAAAAAAATTTCCCCAGTTTATTGAAAAAAAAAAGAAAAAAAAAAAGAATTAAAAAATAGAACGTACCACAAATTTGTTTAGGTATACATCATTAAAGAGCATCTTACACAATAAAAATCAAACCCAAATACACAGTATAGTTCTTGCATATACAATGTTTATAGATAAGGTGGCAAACACCAGTATGGCAAGGAGCAGTGTCTATTTTGTTTTTTTAATATACTGGGCACTGGTCGGCTGAGTTGGTAGAGGGCTTACATCCTCACTATGAGATAGAGATGGACACAAAAATAGTGCGATGAAGCCCAAGTTAAATCTACATATAGAAACAAACCTTAAACCACCAAAATCTGAATCCTGTCATGATTTTTCTCTGCTTACTAGTCATGTTTCTCATTGAGGTACACAGACAGCAGTGATTGTGTTCAACTAAAGAGTCTTTTATGAAGCAAACAACTTGATCGTTAGAACAAGGCACCACTCTATAAATAAAGTTTTCTATACATTTTGTATATGGAATACATGAGGAAAAGCATTTAAAGGAGAGAGCGCGAGAAGTGCCTGTAGTAGTCGTTGAGCCAGTGGAGACTGAAGGAATCAGCTGATGCTGGTGGTAGCTGGACTCCAAATGTCTACCACTGACATTGAATTTTTCTTAAAAAGCACTGTGGGTAGCCTGAGGTATAGTACCCACAGTACAGAGCTGGTTGGCACTGAATATTTTTTTTTCAATTGATTCACAATCATCAAAATGCAAAGACAAGTTACAGGCAAGTCCTGCCTCTCCATTGTGGAAAATGCATAGTAAAAAATTACAAAAGCCTCTGTGGAAAATACTCCCTCCCCAACCTACTTAAGTGACTCAATACACAAAATGTAGGATAAAACTGTGCAGTAGAAACAAGTGATTACGCAATTAAAAGGTGTGAGTGTGTTATGAAGAAGAGTGTGTAGCTTAAAAAAAAAAAAAAAAAAAGAGCTTAAGACACAGAGGGGAGCTATTATTTTTTTGTCTTTGTCTTTTTTTGCCTTCAAACTACATTTATATACACTTCCAAAGAACAATACGTGGAGAGAGATGCTAGAATCATATATAGTTTTTGAAGCCTATGAACACTTAAGTGATCAAAATGAGCAAACCCGGTGAGGTTCAGTAGGTTCAAAGGTGGCATTTGTTGTTGTGGCAACAACAACAATAAGAATGGATGTCAGGAAGTGCTCCTGACGTGCTTCTGTAGGAATGACTCTACAGTTTTCCTTCCTCCAGACCTTCAGCATTTCCTTTGTGTCCTCATCTGGCTACAGTATTGCTGCTGTGTCAGTATCAGCCCCATATGTTCAGCTTAGTACCAGGGGCATGTTCGGTGCGTCTCTTAATCCTCTATAGCGCAACTTTTTCATTCAATTTTAAACTTCCCAGTCCTATAGATTGTTCATGTCTTATGACTAATCCCAAATAATCTAACGTTTTTCATCTTGGTATTTTCTTTACATTAACTTTAAAAAAAGAAAGAAGTGTTTTTATTATTCAATGTGCTTTTAAAATCCCTTCGTGTTTGGGGTGAAGAAAAGCGGCTGCTGATTCCAGACTGCATTACTGAGCCACCATTCCCGCATCAACCTTTTGTGACACACTACTACACAGATGATGCACGTCATTAATAAAGCCGTTGTACAAATGAGGATCTAGCGGTTTGCTGTTACTTCTTTGGTCCTGTGTGCACAGCCCCAGTTACGCCACAGATCAGAAATTATATTACCATACTCAACGCTCAATAAAATATCACCTTAGCTCAAATTTTCAATATACTAAATCAATCTGATCTCATAATACGTCTGAAAAGTATAACCCCAACTAAAGTGTTTTGGACGAGCATTTGGGAACCCTCTCTAAAGGTAAGTTGAAACTTCTGAAATGATATGAGCGTAGTAATACTGAGCGCTATATATATTTATTTATTTAATATAGGGGCGGAAATCCCAATCTCCTACTTTCTACTCTCTCATGACCATCAAGTTAAAGGTTTCTAAAAAGCAACCCCCTTGAAACCAGTTCCCAGTTCTTTCACTTTTCTATTCCACTGTGATCTGCTTCACACACGCCAGCTTCGTTTTTGTCTGTCCTGTCCGACAGTTGCACATCACTTTTTGTTTCTGGCCTGGCATTGTATCAGCTTCACTCAGGTGAAGAAGCTCACTGACACACAAGAACTCAAGGGAATAAATAAAAGCGGTACATACAAACAAATCTCCACTATTAACAGCAAGATTACTTATACTGCCACTATTTATAAATGATTTTTATGTGACCTAATTACAGTAAGAATCATCTGAAGAAATATATCCTTAATTAAAAAATTTGTAACGCACATACACACACACTTTCTTGCATGCATCGTTTCAATAATGAGGGGTGCCTTAATAACCATACAAAATACAGAGCTAAAAGTAACAAATTTAGCAATAACTGTGTGCGTTCATCTTGTTTTGATTAAAAGTGCATCTGTTTTACTTTGGCATAGACTAGAAATAACACTATATATCAGTAGTAGTATTTCAATAGACCTAATGCTATATTGGCCATTTAAGGCTCTCTCTGTTACTGTACATTAGAATTTGGCATTACTGTAAATTATTTTCCATCATGCATGTTTCTGGTTTGCGTATGTGTGTTACAGCAGACTCAAATCACTATATTTTCTTAGGCAGCAACTCACTAACAGCAAAATATTGCTTCATTTCCTTTAGCACCTCTCACTAACAGCATCCTCAAACCCCAATTTAGGATTGTTTTTTTCTTTTTTGTATAGCCCTCTATCCAGCATGCACGCGCACATACACATGTTCCATTACTGAACCACTGCACTGTGCACAAAGCCCTTCCCTAAATGGCCAATTGGTAAAAGGAGAAAAAAAAAATAAAAAAATAAAACTTCTGATTGGCTGCAAACAGCTGACATACACACCCACACACACGCAAGAGGGGAAGAAAAAGAAATGTATCGATGGTCCGGTCATAGACGTGTGATGGTATAGGAATTTCCAGGAAAGCCTCTGAAAGTCACTCAGTCCAAACCAGAACCAGTCAAAACCTGCACAGAAAACAAAACAAACAAAAAAACAAACATTTTTTTTAATATAAATCCTGTTTTTTTGGGGGTTTTTTTTTTAAATCTAGTATTTTTGTAGACTCATTTTGATTCTTCAGACTTTACAGTCACAAAAATGCAAATGCAGCTTGAGAAGAGCTCATAAAAATGCAGCTGCTGTCATCAGTCACCTTCAAATGTTGCCATTAGCTCACGGCCAATAGTTGCAACTACCAGCAGTAAGTGGTTTTTGTTTTTGCCTTGGGCTTCACCTCTCAGGCCACGTACAAGCTGCCCCAACCTGTTTATGGATTTTTCTTGAGATATACACAGCTTAACTATAACACTGCACATATTTTTCAGGGTGAAAAAAAAAGCTGTCCAAAAGCTAAACCTGATTCTTTTAACCTTGTCCATTCATGAGTGGAAATGGCTCTATACCATTAATCATAATGACAATTCAATACTTAACATGACTATCTAGTTTAGTGTTCTCACCTAATGGCCAGCAGGAGGCATTAAGGTGGGTCACTAGAAGCTGTCCCCCTCCAGTGAGAACTTGGAAAGGGCCTCCTGCAGCTTGTGGTGTTCCTCTTCTACAGTCTGCAACACACAAAATCAATATAACCTTAGGAACTGAGAACACACAAACACACACACAATTCAACCTTCTCCTCTTAACATCCTCTCTTCGTCTCCCTCGCTGCTTCTCTGACACATCCCATTGCAAGTGCTGGACATAATAGCCATTTTTAGAGAAGTCCAATTTCACAAGGCAATTTTCAGCAAAGCAATAACAGCAGCAGTTAAATGGTTTTCTATTCTCTGGTTTCTCTTTTGTGCCATTTGGCCCCATTTGTCCACAGCTCACTCCTTACTCAAGTTATCCCCACTGAAATCTTGATGCCCAGCTTTGAGTCTCTTTCTAGTCAGTTCCAATCTTTTGTTAGAGCTGACATTTCTATCTGCCCCTGTCATACGTCCTGCTCCCTGCTTACAGTTTTCTCTCAATATTCCCCTCCATCTCCCCCTCTGTTCACCTGTAGTCTCTTTAGTTGTTCCTCCAGGCTGCGTAGCCTCCTGCACACTTCCTCCTTCCTCTCCTGGGACAGCACCAGGGGCGCGCTGATGCTCTCATCGTCTCCTTTTGGGTTTTGACCTTCTTTGTCTGTACTCGTGGGGTTCGTCTCCTCAGCTACTTCGTTCGTGGTCTGACTTTCATCTGTGGATAGAAATATTTAGTTTGAAAGTGTCAAGAGTCAGCAGTCTTTAAATAATAATAAATTCTGGCCATTAATAATTAGCACTGCAAAAATCCTTTGACATTGTAAGTTCCTTGTAATACTGCATTAAATAGAATAGTACACACATACACCAAATCCTGCTTTAACGCGAGGGGATTTGCAATCCTGCTTTTAAAATGGATATACCGATATCAAATTGTGATATTAGAAATACTTTAATACTTTTGATTAATGTGTAGAATCATGTGTAAAATCGCTAATTAAAAAAACAAATAAATCAGGTAACACTGGGGTTTTGAGGGTGAAAAATAAGGACAAGAAACTACAAGCCAGAGGTTTCAACATTAAATGCTTAATAACAATTCATCAAGAGGAGATCGGAAGCAGCTAGCCTTGCTGCATCCGCTAATGTTAACAACTCTGGAAAGTCACTGCTTAAGAAAAAAAATATTCTGGGAAGTTGTACAGATAAAACTACCAAGACTGAGCTAAGATGGCTCTATTTAGCTTACAGATATGAGTGGTATTAAGCTTCTCTTCATCTATCGCTATGAAACTATTCCTTTAAAAAAATAAGAAAAAAGAAAAGAAAAAAGAAAGACAAAAAAATAGGCCAAACCTGTTAACTGATGCTGTTCCACATCTTGCCCAGGGCCTTTTGATTGCCCTACTTCATGTTCTTCATCAGGTTGTGAGTCCTCTGATAGACTGATGCTGCCGACCAGGAGCCTTTTCAGGGACATGACTAACAGAGGAGACAGATTCATTGGCTTTATTAGGATAGGCAAGCTACTTTGAAAGAAAGTAAAGCCAAAAATATAGTAATTTATAGTTCATGAATATAAGTACAAGGAAGACCCCTATTCACCTTCATCTAATGCACTGTTAGCCACTTTCTCCTGATCATTTTTGGTGTGGCCTATCAAGTCAAACCCTTTGTCAGACAGGAAATCAATCAGCCTGTGCCTGGGATCCGTCAACTTTTTATCTTTCAAGTTGTCCTTATCTTGATCTACAGACAGAGATAAGTCTTAAATTTTGCTTAGGTCTTTATGAGTGTGTAACAATGGCAAATTTGCAGGTGTGCAGTCACAACGGTCTCACCACTGCTGCTTTTCAAAGCTCCATTCTCAATCGGGCTCATAGGGGGATTCAGACTAAAAGAAAGGAGGGAAAAAAGTAAAAACAAGGAAATTAGATTTTTTGATAAATAAACTTTGGCAATATATGAATATCTCTCACTTTTTCCAACACACACAACACACACACACACACACACACACAACACACACAACACACACACACACACACACACACACCCTTCAGCTATCTTAGTGAGGACCTTCATGACATAATGGTTTCCCTAGCCCCTTACCCTAACCCTAACCATTAAAAATGAATGCCTAACCCTACCCTAAACCTAACCATAACCTAATTGTAACCCTGACACTAAAACCACATTTTGAGCCTCAAAAAGGCCTTCAAATTGTGAGGACCGGTGGTGTGTCCTCACAAGTGACTGTTGGTTCTCACAAGTATAGTAGAATGCAGATTTCGGTCCTCACAAAGATAGCTAGACAGGAACACACACACACACACACACACACACACAACACACACACACACACACACACACACACACACACACACACACACACAACACACACACACACACACACACACACACACTTACCTGATGGGACTGAAGGGAGGTCCTACAACTCCAACTCCAGGAGCCACCGTCAACTTCTTGGTTGTGCTGCCACTCTTCTTCAGGTCATCCACTGCTTTCTTTATCACTTGAGTCCAACTAAAAATATGGAAATACGGGGGGAAAATTATCCTGCGCTTTGAAATCAAAAGGAAACATGATTTATGAATACAATTCTCTTTGGTATTTACATTTTTACTTCTCCAACAGACTGAGCCACTAGTTCATAAATCTGAGCGCCGCTTTCCCAGGTAAATATCACGTAGAAAGCCTTTCGATCTGACACAACAGGAGAAAACAGCAATTCAAAGACTTATCTTACGATTAGAGTGACTTGCAAACTACTGTACTGTGGTGCACTGCTAACCTGTGGCCACATCACGGAGAAAGACTGAGTCCAGCTTAATAATTGGGCTCAGCATCAGCTTGCCGTCCTGTGCAGCGATGTTACTCTTACTGTGGCATTTGACGACCATCTTGTCATCCTGCTTCTGGAGGAGCACCAGTAAGTCCGCAAGCAACACACATTGCACCTCTGAAGGACAGGGAACAGAAAGAGTGGGACCTTCTTGCTGCGAGGCAACAGGCCAACCATCATGCTGCCTATTTGATTCTCATTAACTTGCCAAATTTCAGTAATTCAACTGAAATAATGCTAAAGGGGAAGTAAATAAATCACTATGTCAGTCTGTTTCTTTGGGGGTTTTTTTTGCCGATTTTGATGTTCATAAAAGAGAAGTGCAAGACATAAAATCTGTATGACGTTCTACAAAATCTTTTCTTCCTTTTAAAAATCTTTTTTTAGTTTAAGTGTGAAAAGTATTACTTTGCAATATATTGAAATGTTTGACCTTGTTGCTGTGAAAGAAAGGCCTGTAATATAGCACATATTTACCAACGGCCTTTTCTTTGGTGACTTTCCATATCAGTGGGCCTTCATAAAGCATCTTCTTCTGAGTCAAGTCAATGTTCTAGTACAGACAGGAGGAGAATAACATGAATATGTTTCAACAAAATCTTGGAGGAAAAAAAAAAAGGAATATTGCAACACTGTGTGCAAAAGACAAGTTTAGTTGAAAGAAACCCACCCTATATTCACTATAGAGCTCATTACTGGGTTTTAGTCCTGATGTGTCTAATTTGCGCTGGTATTCCCTCAGAGTCTGGGAGCAGAGAGAATGATTGTGAGTCAGACTGTGGTCTGTTTGATAACATAGCACAGAAAAAGATGTACTCTTATAAGCAGTGAGCTAAAGAAGTCTCAAAATTCATTTACAAAACTTCAATTGGTGCCAAGTTACCACGCAGCTGTTGGCTGAGTGGTGAATTGAGCATGTCTTACCAACAGGTTTTCCATCACTTTGACTTCCTCATTGACGTGGTTGAGGATCTTTCTGCAACACTCTGCACTCTTCTCAATTGCTGCCTTCTCCGTTAGATCCTCTGCAGTGAGAGAGAAATACAGAGATGAGAAAAATATGTCTTTAACAGCAAAGCCCAGACAAAAGCCATAAATCAAGAGTGTAACAAAACACTAACAAAAAACAAACAAACCCACACCAAAACTTTCCATTGGTCCTCCTCGTGGTACCAACTTTCTGGTCACAGAGTCAAAGTACTCAAGAAGTGTTATGTTATAGTTCATACATCAACACCTGCAGAAGGGGGATATACTTTGAAGCAAGAGATGACAGCTATCATAAGGGCAATTAGTAACTTTCTTTGTTAACTCTGGCTTTCTTCCTTAGCTTTTGGGGATACTCTACGATACTCTTGGGGGCACCCAATCAGGGTGCTGCCTATTTCAGTGAGTTGTTTTGATGGAGGCATTGAAGAATATAAAAGATTTACTGCAATAGAACTCTGTGCTGATCCTTCAAACGAAGGAAGACAGGAATCCTGCTGAAACCTCTTTAGGCTGTAAATTCTCAAGATATGTTTATTTTACTTTAATGTCCCTTAAAGAACATCACAGTTCTATGCATTTTTAATTCTCTGTGTCACAGATTTAACAAGTTGCTGTAAATACTCTTGAGTTGTGCATTCAGAGATGCTCTTTTGCATATCTTGATCGTAAAATGATTATTTTGGCTACTTTTACTTTTCTATCAGCTTACAGCAGTCTGGCCGTTCTCCAATGACCTCTGGGTGTTAGGGCTGTGCGATATGACCAAAATCTCATATCCCGATATAAGAATTCTATCGTCCCGATAACGATATAAATCACAAAAATGTAACATTTTCTGTAAATTCTGTGAATCTCGGGCAGCTCGACTTGCGGGAAGTGTTTCCAGCTGCGCGTCATGTAGCTGGAGTCGAGTGTTTTAACCGATGCATGAAACTATACATTTTTAGACATAAGTTGTAACGGCCGCCGTTTTCTTTGTGAGTATTTATTACACGGCGTGCTGCGGGGAAAAGCCTGTTCTAACGTTTGAGTCTAAGGTTTATTTTTTAGCACCTGGCGGCTCTTTTTTACTTCTCATCCGTAAATAATCTGCTCTTTCACGTGATTCAGTTTATTTTGAAAAGTCTCAACAGGATCTTGAGCTTTATTGTGAAAGGTTTATGTGAAACATGGTGTTACCGTTGTTGTTGCTAACCACAACGCATAAAAACAGGCGCTTGCCGTCCGTAGTGTGGTTATATTAAATATAAGAGAAAGAGAGAACTTAAGAAATTAATATAGCCACTACAGTGACCATCAAAACGATGAAAGAAGATGATCTGAACCTCGGTTTGTTTTTCCCAGACCATCATTCTGATTGGTCACTTGCAATGTTGATCCTGGAACAACATTTTCATGATGGTCTGGGAACAACACCAACACAAGGATATCAGATCAACCGAAAAAATATTGTCGTAAACAGTTTATTTTGCGACACCACGAAACAAACGATAGCGTAAAATGAAACAATAGACGTTTTTACATCGTCATCCGATATATATCGTTATATCGAACAGCCCTATCTGGCGTCAACCAGGCATTTTTGCTTAGAGAACAACCACTCAATGAATATTTCTCTCTTTTTTGGACCAGTCTGTAAACCCAAGAGATGGCTGGGCAAGAAAATCACAGTAGAGCAGCAGTTTCTGAAATGCTCAGACAACCTCATCTGGCACCAAAAATCATGCCAGATTCAAAGTCATTTAAACCACCTTCCTTCACCATTCTCTTCCTTGGCTTGTTATGTATATAACAAACAGAGCATTATATAAAGCAAGTGAGAGAGAAAGAGATTCTGAGCAGGAGGGAAATTCTTATGGATGATGCACGTGCACGTTCATGTATCACACCACAAACATCTATCATAATCATTGGTGATGGTGGTACTTCCGATTACATTTTCAAACCCAGATATACAGCATTATATAGCTGAGTAATATGATGATACACAGTGTAATAAAAATGCATTTGACTATCTTATATATCAGGAAAGAATAAATGTAAAAAGTAAGAATGTAAAGAAAGTAAGAATGCAATAAGTTTTACAATATCGATGCACATATACTGACACATCAAAGTGAGCAACAAACAGGCCAGGGACACATACAGACACACACCTGTGTTCTTTGCGATATTCTCCAGCAGCAGTGGGTACTTGGTCAGCCTCTGCATCTCTATGGGAATGATGTCCTTGAGCTGCAGCCTACGGCACTGGGGCTTACTCTCCGCCTCCTGACACACACACACACACACACACACACACACACACACACACACACACACACACACACACACTATAATTATTCCGTCTTGTTAGGTGTTACAGCAGACTCAAATCACTATATTTTCTTAGGCAGCAACTCACTAACAGCAAAATATTGCTTCATTTCCTTTAGCACCTCTCACTAACAGCATCCTCAAACCCCAATTTAGGATTGTTTTTTTCTTTTTTGTATAGCCCTCTATCCAGCATGCACGCGCACATACACATGTTCCATTACTGAACCACTGCACTGTGCACAAAGCCCTTCCCTAAATGGCCAATTGGTAAAAGGAGAAAAAAAAAATAAAAAAATAAAACTTCTGATTGGCTGCAAACAGCTGACATACACACCCACACACACGCAAGAGGGGAAGAAAAAGAAATGTATCGATGGTCCGGTCATAGACGTGTGATGGTATAGGAATTTCCAGGAAAGCCTCTGAAAGTCACTCAGTCCAAACCAGAACCAGTCAAAACCTGCACAGAAAACAAAACAAACAAAAAAACAAACATTTTTTTTAATATAAATCCTGTTTTTTGGGGGTTTTTTTTTTAAATCTAGTATTTTTGTAGACTCATTTTGATTCTTCAGACTTTACAGTCACAAAAATGCAAATGCAGCTTGAGAAGAGCTCATAAAAATGCAGCTGCTGTCATCAGTCACCTTCAAATGTTGCCATTAGCTCACGGCCAATAGTTGCAACTACCAGCAGTAAGTGGTTTTTGTTTTTGCCTTGGGCTTCACCTCTCAGGCCACGTACAAGCTGCCCCAACCTGTTTATGGATTTTTCTTGAGATATACACAGCTTAACTATAACACTGCACATATTTTTCAGGGTGAAAAAAAAAGCTGTCCAAAAGCTAAACCTGATTCTTTTAACCTTGTCCATTCATGAGTGGAAATGGCTCTATACCATTAATCATAATGACAATTCAATACTTAACATGACTATCTAGTTTAGTGTTCTCACCTAATGGCCAGCAGGAGGCATTAAGGTGGGTCACTAGAAGCTGTCCCCCTCCAGTGAGAACTTGGAAAGGGCCTCCTGCAGCTTGTGGTGTTCCTCTTCTACAGTCTGCAACACACAAAATCAATATAACCTTAGGAACTGAGAACACACAAACACACACACAATTCAACCTTCTCCTCTTAACATCCTCTCTTCGTCTCCCTCGCTGCTTCTCTGACACATCCCATTGCAAGTGCTGGACATAATAGCCATTTTTAGAGAAGTCCAATTTCACAAGGCAATTTTCAGCAAAGCAATAACAGCAGCAGTTAAATGGTTTTCTATTCTCTGGTTTCTCTTTTGTGCCATTTGGCCCCATTTGTCCACAGCTCACTCCTTACTCAAGTTATCCCCACTGAAATCTTGATGCCCAGTTTTGAGTCTCTTTCTAGTCAGTTCCAATCTTTTGTTAGAGCTGACATTTCTATCTGCCCCTGTCATACGTCCTGCTCCCTGCTTACAGTTTTCTCTCAATATTCCCCTCCATCTCCCCCTCTGTTCACCTGTAGTCTCTTTAGTTGTTCCTCCAGGCTGCGTAGCCTCCTGCACACTTCCTCCTTCCTCTCCTGGGACAGCACCAGGGGCGCGCTGATGCTCTCATCGTCTCCTTTTGGGTTTTGACCTTCTTTGTCTGTACTCGTGGGGTTCGTCTCCTCAGCTACTTCGTTCGTGGTCTGACTTTCATCTGTGGATAGAAATATTTAGTTTGAAAGTGTCAAGAGTCAGCAGTCTTTAAATAATAATAAATTCTGGCCATTAATAATTAGCACTGCAAAAATCCTTTGACATTGTAAGTTCCTTGTAATACTGCATTAAATAGAATAGTACACACATACACCAAATCCTGCTTTAACGCGAGGGGATTTGCAATCCTGCTTTTAAAATGGATATACCGATATCAAATTGTGATATTAGAAATACTTTAATACTTTTGATTAATGTGTAGAATCATGTGTAAAATCGCTAATTAAAAAAACAAATAAATCAGGTAACACTGGGGTTTTGAGGGTGAAAAATAAGGACAAGAAACTACAAGCCAGAGGTTTCAACATTAAATGCTTAATAACAATTCATCAAGAGGAGATCGGAAGCAGCTAGCCTTGCTGCATCCGCTAATGTTAACAACTCTGGAAAGTCACTGCTTAAGAAAAAAAATATTCTGGGAAGTTGTACAGATAAAACTACCAAGACTGAGCTAAGATGGCTCTATTTAGCTTACAGATATGAGTGGTATTAAGCTTCTCTTCATCTATCGCTATGAAACTATTCCTTTAAAAAAATAAGAAAAAAGAAAAGAAAAAAGAAAGACAAAAAAATAGGCCAAACCTGTTAACTGATGCTGTTCCACATCTTGCCCAGGGCCTTTTGATTGCCCTACTTCATGTTCTTCATCAGGTTGTGAGTCCTCTGATAGACTGATGCTGCCGACCAGGAGCCTTTTCAGGGACATGACTAACAGAGGAGACAGATTCATTGGCTTTATTAGGATAGGCAAGCTACTTTGAAAGAAAGTAAAGCCAAAAATATAGTAATTTATAGTTCATGAATATAAGTACAAGGAAGACCCCTATTCACCTTCATCTAATGCACTGTTAGCCACTTTCTCCTGATCATTTTTGGTGTGGCCTATCAAGTCAAACCCTTTGTCAGACAGGAAATCAATCAGCCTGTGCCTGGGATCCGTCAACTTTTTATCTTTCAAGTTGTCCTTATCTTGATCTACAGACAGAGATAAGTCTTAAATTTTGCTTAGGTCTTTATGAGTGTGTAACAATGGCAAATTTGTAGGTGTGCAGTCACAACGGTCTCACCACTGCTGCTTTTCAAAGCTCCATTCTCAATCGGGCTCATAGGGGGATTCAGACTAAAAGAAAGGAGGGAAAAAAGTAAAAACAAGGAAATTAGATTTTTTGATAAATAAACTTTGGCAATATATGAATATCTCTCACTTTTTCCAACACACACAACACCACACACACACACACACACAACACACACAACACACACACACACACACACACACACCCATTCAGCTATCTTAGTGAGGACCTTCATTGACATAATGGTTTCCCTAGCCCTTACCCTAACCCTAACCATTAAAAATGAATGCCTAACCCTACCCTAAACCTAACCATAACCTAATTGTAACCCTGACACTAAAACCACATTTTGAGCCTCAAAAAGGCCTTCAAACTTGTGAGGACCGGTGAGTGTGTCCTCACAAGTGACTGTTGGTTCTCACAAGTATAGTAGAATGCACGATTTCGGTCTTCACAAAGATAGTCTAGACAGGAACACACACACACACACACACACACACACACAAACACACACACACACACACACACACACACACACACACACACACACACACACACACACACACAACACACACACACACACACACACACACACACACACACAACACACAACCTGATGGGATGAAGGAGGTCCTACAACTCCAACTCCAGGAGCCACCGTCAACTTCTTGGTTGTGCTGGCACTCTTCTTCAGGTCATCCACTGCTTTCTTTATCACTTGAGTCCAACTAAAAATATGGAAATACGGGGGGAAAATTATCCTGCTCTTTGAAATCAAAAGGAAACATGATTTATGAATACAATTCTCTTTGGTATTTACATTTTTACTTCTCCAACAGACTGAGCCACTAGTTCATAAATCTGAGCGCCGCTTTCCCAGGTAAATATCACGTAGAAAGCCTTTCGATCTGACACAACAGGAGAAAACAGCAATTCAAAGACTTATCTTACGATTAGAGTGACTTGCAAACTACTGTACTGTGGTGCACTGCTAACCTGTGGCCACATCACGGAGAAAGACTGAGTCCAGCTTAATAATTGGGCTCAGCATCAGCTTGCCGTCCTGTGCAGCGATGTTACTCTTACTGTGGCATTTGACGACCATCTTGTCATCCTGCTTCTGGAGGAGCACCAGTAAGTCCGCAAGCAACACACATTGCACCTCTGAAGGACAGGGAACAGAAAGAGTGGGACCTTCTTGCTGCGAGGCAACAGGCCAACCATTATGCTGCCTATTTGATTCTCATTAACTTGCCAAATTTCAGTAATTCAACTGAAATAATGCTAAAGGGGAAGTAAATAAATCACTATGTCAGTCTGTTTCTTTGGGGGTTTTTTTTGCCGATTTTGATGTTCATAAAAGAGAAGTGCAAGACATAAAATCTGTATGACGTTATACAAAATCTTTTCTTCCTTTTAAAAATCTTTTTTTAGTTTAAGTGTGAAAAGTATTACTTTGCAATATATTGAAATGTTTGACCTTGTTGCTGTGAAAGAAAGGCCTGTAATATAGCACATATTTACCAACGGCCTTTTCTTTGGTGACTTTCCATATCAGTGGGCCTTCATAAAGCATCTTCTTCTGAGTCAAGTCAATGTTCTAGTACAGACAGGAGGAGAATAACATGAATATGTTTCAACAAAATCTTGGAGGAAAAAAAAAAAGGAATATTGCAACACTGTGTGCAAAAGACAAGTTTAGTTGAAAGAAACCCACCCTATATTCACTATAGAGCTCATTACTGGGTTTTAGTCCTGATGTGTCTAATTTGCGCTGGTATTCCCTCAGAGTCTGGGAGCAGAGAGAATGATTGTGAGTCAGACTGTGGTCTGTTTGATAACATAGCACAGAAAAAGATGTACTCTTATAAGCAGTGAGCTAAAGAAGTCTCAAAATTCATTTACAAAACTTCAATTGGTGCCAAGTTACCACGCAGCTGTTGGCTGAGTGGTGAATTGAGCATGTCTTACCAACAGGTTTTCCATCACTTTGACTTCCTCATTGACGTGGTTGAGGATCTTTCTGCAACACTCTGCACTCTTCTCAATTGCTGCCTTCTCCGTTAGATCCTCTGCAGTGAGAGAGAAATACAGAGATGAGAAAAATATGTCTTTAACAGCAAAGCCCAGACAAAAGCCATAAATCAAGAGTGTTACAAAACACTAACAAAAAACAAACAAACCCACACCAAAACTTTCCATTGGTCCTCCTCGTGGTACCAACTTTCTGGTCACAGAGTCAAAGTACTCAAGAAGTGTTATGTTATAGTTCATACATCAACACCTGCAGAAGGGGGATATACTTTGAAGCAAGAGATGACAGCTATCATAAGGGCAATTAGTAACTTTCTTTGTTAACTCTGGCTTTCTTCCTTAGCTTTTGGGGATACTCTACGATACTCTTGGGGGCACCCAATCAGGGTGCTGCCTATTTCAGTGAGTTGTTTTGATGGAGGCATTGAAGAATATAAAAGATTTACTGCAATAGAACTCTGTGCTGATCCTTCAAACGAAGGAAGACAGGAATCCTGCTGAAACCTCTTTAGGCTGTAAATTCTCAAGATATGTTTATTTTACTTTAATGTCCCTTAAAGAACATCACAGTTCTATGCATTTTTAATTCTCTGTGTCACAGATTTAACAAGTTGCTGTAAATACTCTTGAGTTGTGCATTCAGAGATGCTCTTTTGCATACTTGATCGTAAAATGATTATTTTGGCTACTTTTACTTTTCTATCAGCTTACAGCAGTCTGGCCGTTCTCCAATGACCTCTGGGTGTTAGGGCTGTGCGATATGACCAAAATCTCATATCCCGATATAAGAATTCTATCGTCCCGATAACGATATAAATCACAAAAATGTAACATTTTCTGTAAATTCTGTGAATCTCGGGCAGCTCGACTTGCGGGAAGTGTTTCCAGCTGCGCGTCATGTAGCTGGAGTCGAGTGTTTTAACCGATGCATGAAACTATACATTTTTAGACATAAGTTGTAACGGCCGCCGTTTTCTTTGTGAGTATTTATTACACGGCGTGCTGCGGGGAAAAGCCTGTTCTAACGTTTGAGTCTAAGGTTTATTTTTTAGCACCTGGCGGCTCTTTTTTATTCTCATCCGTAAATAATCTGCTCTTTCACGTGATTCAGTTTATTTTGAAAAGTCTCAACAGGATCTTGAGCTTTATTGTGAAAGGTTTATGTGAAACATGGTGTTACCGTTGTTGTTGCTAACCACAACGCATAAAAACAGGCGCTTGTCCGTCCGTAGTGTGGTTATATTAAATATAAGAGAAAGAGAGAACTTTAAGAAATTAATATAGCCACTACAGTGACCATCAAAACGATGAAAAAATATTGCCGTAACAGTTTATTTTGCGACACCACATTTGATGGTCACTTGCAATGTTGACCTGGAACAACATTTTCATGATGGTCTGGGAACAACACCAACACAAGGATATCAGATCAACCGAAAAAATATTGTCGTAAACAGTTTATTTTGCGACACCACGAAACAAACGATAGCGTAAAATGAAACAATAGACGTTTTTACATCGTCATCCGATATATATCGTTATATCGAACAGCCCTATCTGGCGTCAACCAGGCATTTTTGCTTAGAGAACAACCACTCAATGAATATTTCTCTCTTTTTTGGACCAGTCTGTAAACCCAAGAGATGGCTGGGCAGGAAAATCACAGTAGAGCAGCAGTTTCTGAAATGCTCAGACAACCTCATCTGGCACCAAAAATCATGCCAGATTCAAAGTCATTTAAACCACCTTCCTTCACCATTCTCTTCCTTGGCTTGTTATGTATATAACAAACAGAGCATTATATAAAGCAAGTGAGAGAGAAAGAGATTCTGAGCAGGAGGGAAATTCTTATGGATGATGCACGTGCACGTTCATGTATCACACCACAAACATCTATCATAATCATTGGTGATGGTGGTACTTCCGATTACATTTTCAAACCCAGATATACAGCATTATATAGCTGAGTAATATGATGATACACAGTGTAATAAAAATGCATTTGACTATCTTATATATCAGGAAAGAATAAATGTAAAAAGTAAGAATGTAAAGAAAGTAAGAATGCAATAAGTTTTACAATATCGATGCACATATACTGACACATGAAAGTGAGCAACAAACAGGCCAGGGACACATACAGACACACACCTGTGTTCTTTGCGATATTCTCCAGCAGCAGTGGGTACTTGGTCAGCCTCTGCATCTCTATGGGAATGATGTCCTTGAGCTGCAGCCTACGGCACTGGGGCTTACTCTCCGCCTCCTGACACACACACACACACACACACACACACACACACACACACACACACACACACACACACACACACACACACACAACACACACACACACACACACACACACACACACACACACACACACACACACACACAGTCAGACTAGAACACCTTTGTCACATTTTGCATTACTTTGCATCTGCAAAGTGCGTCCATGTATGTCTCTGTTCAATCTTGA